GTCGAATTCGGCAATATTTTAGGAACTGGGCATCCCGAGGAAACATTCGGGCCCTTTAGCTTTCCGGTTCTTTCCACGAAGTGACGCTCATCATGTCAAAGTTATCTGGGTCTGCCATGGGCGTGATGGGGGCGTTGGTGGGATCGAAGTAGTCGTCATCATCGTCATCGTCGTCGAAGCCCCCGTGAGCGCTCGGCTGTGCGCTGTGACGCATGGGATGAGGGCCCCTCCGCGGGGGTGGCGGCCCACGCCTTCCGCGGCCCATACGCATTTCTTGTTCGCGTAATGCTAGCTCGCGTTGTCGAAGCTCCAATTCACGCTCACGAATGCCCACGTCACCGCCTTCCTGGCCATAACCCGGCTCTCCTCCCTCGGGAATATCGTCGTAGAGGACTAGGTGCGAGAACTCCTCCAAGTCGTTTGCTTCCATAGAGCCTCGCCTCGATGCGGCGCGCGATCCTGGGCCAGGATACCCATTGGGTGGCCCGTTCATTGACGGACGGCCGCCGTACCCGTTGGGAGGGCCGCCACCATTGACAGAGGGAGGACCTCGCCTCATGCCCGGGCCTGGTCCGAGATTCGACGAGTTTCTGGGACGGGGTCCCCGAGGCGGCATGCCGTTGCCATTAGACATGCCGTTGGGGGGCATGGGACGCATGCCTCCATTCATGCTAATCTGCGACGACATCCTAGGCAGTGACGGAGCATTTGGGGAGGACGGGCCCATTGGCGCCTCGATCTTGGGCCTCTGGCGGTTGACGATGTTGAGATTGTGCATGACAGCATACAGTGTCTCGATGCGAGGGACAGGAACACCTGCGTCCTTGGCGAGCTTCATGGGTGAGCCCAGATACGTCTCGACTTCCATGGGACGCTTGGCCATGAAGTCTTGCCACATGATGCTTTCGGTCGTTGTCGGCTGTGTCATGTCGTCGATCGTTTTTTGCTTGAAAGAAGGGTCGAGGTTGCAGCCATGTGCCGAAGCGAGGGCTAACATTTCGTTGAGCACCTCGGACACAAGGTCGCGAACGCCGGTCTTTTCGAGCAGCTGTACGTGATTGGGCGTCTCAAATATAACACTGGCTGGATGGAACGCGATCGGCCTGCGGCCGAAGTTAGCAGTCGGCAGAAGAAGCAAGTTTTGTCTTGTGAACATACCCAATCACCCGCTCGATTGTTGTTGCCGAATGGTGGGAGGAACCTTGCAATCCATTTGCCCTGTGCTCAACGTCATAGCTAGAGCCTGAGCCATATCTTCCCTGAATCGAGGCCGGGATGTTTTCGTTCTTGTTCGCAGGGACAACCCCAAACCTCTGTCGAATCTTTGTGCTCGAACTCGCTTTGACCCAGTTGTGATAGCTCGGCGTTCGATACGAGAGAGAGAACGACGTTTGTGGGGAATCGTTCTTCGATCGCGGCTTCAACGCCCAATGTATGCGTCGTGTTGACCAGGATGCAGGTGTGCTGCGGCGTGACAACGGCATCGATAACAGCCGCGAGGTCATACACGTCTGGTAGCGCCTTCACACAGAGAATGACATAGTCGTATGCGCCATCTCGTTGGCCTGCTGCGTCTTCAGGGGCACGAACAACTGTAAAGAACGACGGGTTAGTCGACGACGACCCTGATTTTTGACATTCGAGAAGAAGAGCATACCATGGCGGGGCTTGAACCTTTCGTTGCCAAACGTTGACGACCTGAGGTCCTTGTCAGCATACATCGAGGTCTCAAAATAGAGAAGGATAGCGCGCAATTTGACTTACTTGAATGTTAGGCCGTATTGGGCAACGTGCTCATATCCTGACTTCCACACAAGTGTTACGTCGCAGGCGTTAGAGGCCTGCAGACGCCATGAAAGAAACGCAGAAACCGGGTTCCCTCCCACTACGCAGACAGTTAGCTCAAAATCCTCCATGGCTGCCTTGTGTGTCGGGTCCGAACGAGTCGGTTGAACATTGGGGTTTGTTGAGAATAGACAAAGAAGCGGAACAGGCGTCGAGGTAAGTATTGGTACGATGTGAGAGAGGGGAGAGAAAGCAGGACAAGATGATGGGCCAGGGGAGTGTCGAAGGCCGGGGTACGATTGATTCGCACAGACGGAGCTGGAGTCCAAGGGCGGGAGCGCGACGAATCTGAAGACAGGAAATGGACGTACCTGAAAGCACCTTCAGCCGGGGTGTCATGGGTGCCATGATGGCGAGAGGCCCAATGGGGATTAGTGATGAGGCCGATTAGAGACCACTGTACCCCTGCGCACCTGAAAAGTCGATGCGGGACGGGCGCTGGCTGTTGCGTGCCTGCAAGATTGCCCGGGTGGTTCGGGGGGACGCTCGTCTACAGTCAGGGACGGGGTACGATGATATTGAGCTGCACTTGGTACCCTGCGGTGGCCTCGATTGAATTTGCTTCACACGAGTTGCGCGTGGCACGTTGGCTGGCCTGCGTGACGGGCAAGTCGGACTGACGATTGAAGGCGGATAGAGAGGACAATCGATCAGTGACCCATTCGACTACTGAGAATAGGTTTCGCGGGTTTCGCGGGATGCAGGTGCGAGTGACTTCGGTAGCTGGACGAATTTGGTGGCGTGCGTCTGTGGCCCACGTCGGCACGTCTGGAAACAGGTGAGGCGCTGAGGCTGGGGCGTTCAGGTGATGACGATCAATGGATAGTTTAAAAACGAGCGTGTCGCCCTGGATCGGCGAGTCGGAGAAAACCTTGAAGAATGGTCGAATCGCCTCTCGACACTTTTTCGCGATTGTGACACGATGGGAAGAGAGGACAAAGTCGGCCAGTTATCGAGACCTGCTTGGACTTTCTTCCGACAAGTCTGCGGCAAGACGGGGCGGATGACGACTGGCAAGGTTCCTCTGTTGTAGTACTCTCCAAGTATTGCAAGACGAAGGAGCGCCTCTTGGATGGACGAACACAAACTTGTTCGTGTGCGGTGGAAGAGAAGGGACGAGTGTTCTCGATTCCTGCCAATCCGAGCAAACGGAGAAGTCGGTCAAGTTGTCGCGGTCGTCCTGGAAGTCGATTCGGTACGAAAAGGCACAAAAGATTACGGAAAAGAAGAGAGTATGGAGAGGTCGGGAACGTTTGGACCTCGTGGTGACAGGATGGGTGATGGACGGAGGTGTTTTCGGGTGATCGGTTTCGCGTGACCGTGGAGATGGCGTTTGTGGACGTGTTCGTGAGCGACGTCCGTCAATGTCTATGGCAGCCAAAAGGGTGAGGCGTCTACACCCAGCCTGAACGCTGTCTGGTGTTGCCGGTGCTGGGTTTCCGTACCTCGCAAGTCGGTCGGTTGGTGTAGGACGAATTCACTTCACACAACCTTACGCAGCAAAACGCAAGAGCAAGCTTGCTCTCAATGTTCCGATGGTGCTGGCAGGAAACAAGGGATCGGGAGGGGGGAGGGGGTGGAAGAGGGAAAAAAAAGAAGAACGCGTAGGCAAGAGAGAAGGTGGAGAGGGCCGCACGGTAGAGGCTGGAAAGAGGCTTGCAGCATACGTAGTGTGGTGTTAAGGCATGTCCGGGGAGCGGAAGGGATGGGAATGGGAGGTTTTGGGAGGAGTGCTCTGGGCCTGCCACTGCCTGCCTTACCTGCTTGCCCGCCCTCTCTGTCTGTCTGCCCCGGGGCAGATGGGGGATGGGAGATGGGCGCGCTAGGGCCAAGGAGGCGCAGACGGAGGGGTGGGACGTGGATGACTGGGATTGACCAGAGAGAGGAACGGAGACCCAGGCGCATGCAGTAGGCGAGCGGGTCGATGATGCTGTAGTGCTCTCAGCGCTGTGGACACCCGCTGCCACTGACGGGGGGGATGAGTGTCTGGAGGTATCTGCCAGGCATCAGGCTCGCAGTGCTAGGTATGGTACCTTTTTAGTGAGATGGACACTCGGCACCACAGTGGGGGGAATCCGGGCCTGGGTGAGCCGGGACGTATACAGGGCAGAAACGAACAGACCACCCGAAGT